AATGTTGGGTGCAAAACTTGTTCAATGATCTCGTCTTTTTAATAATTTCCACAATCAAGAACTTTGATATTCTTGATGTTAGAATCAATGTCTTCTTGTAAAAGTATAAGATTTTGTTATCTTTCTTAGAATCTTGTCTTGACTTTAAGATAACCCATTAATTTATATTAAAGCTACTAATTAAATCATGTAAAATAAGATGAATGTTGATAATGAGTGATGCATTGTTTACGGTAGTGGAGCCCTAATAAATATTAACACCCTAAGGGGTAAAAAACGTCTAATAATTACGGAGTACAACATAATACTTGTATATAATTGATTCTAGTAACTCCATAATTTTTTATAAGTTTGAAATCTCTTACAAGTTAATCCGTTTCAGATTAGTAGGCTAAAAGAGGATCATACCCTAAAAAAGCTCATAGTGATAATTGAATCTCCAATCTCAAAGTTGTAACAATCTACAATTTTTTTTTTTCCTATTCAAATAATAACCAAAATATAGGAAAGATAAAAGATTAGTGCACAAAACATTCAATTAAAGATTTACGACTTCCGTGATTAAACCGAACGCGGCATGTGTTTCACAAAATAAAAAAAAATAAAAAAACCACAAGGGAGTTTGTGGGGGTTAAACAAACTGAAAGCCGCAAATAGAAATAGGGTATGTCTAATTGTCTATGTACTATGTTTGTGATGAATTTGCGTGTACAACAAAGTGACTTAACAAAATGACAGCTAAAGAGCACCACATAATATCATAACCATTTGTTAATAAGCTACGTGGATCAGTTTTCCAAGTTGGATTTTAAGTAAAGAAAAAGGGGTCACCGGTTTTATTTTCTCAGATATTATGGAATCATCAAATTTTTAAATTTAAATTATTATTAATAATAATAATTCTAAAAAGTAATGCGTGATATCTTTCAAAGTTATAACCAATGAGAAGCTGAAACGTAAGATGGTTTCTCTCACCTCCATTTTGGTGCCCTTTTTCTGGTGAATCTGGCTAACTGATCATTGCAAACTGCCTAAGATTCTGGAATTTTGTCCATTTTTTTGGATTTTTAGGGGCTGGGTTTTGTGATTAAAAATTTTCTATAAATACAACAAATATTTGTAGAGCTGTGAAAATACACTTGTACATGTCTATTATCATATGGAGTAATCAAACTTGCTAGGCGGAGATGATGGAAAACTCACCCTGTGATTTGTAATTTTTTTACTTATAAACTTAAGTCTAACCACCTATATAAGTTTATCAAATAAAAGAAAAAATTAAATAAAATTTTCATAGTTACTTATGTGGCTATGTCTAATGAGTAGTTGAGTACGGTACTACTTTATAAAGGCTAAAATAATGTTCATACCTTAGGGCGTGTTCGGCGCTAGCTTTTGAGTAACTTTTAGGTAGCTTTTAGTGGTTTGACTAAGTCAGATCACTACTTGACACAAAATGTGGGTGTTTGGCAAAGTAGTGGTTAAGATAGCTTTTAGGGGTTGTTTGGCAATCGGCGGTTGACTATTGGCTATTGGCTTGTTTGCTTGGCTTTTTAAGTTATTGTGTTAAGCTGGCTGTTTTCAAAAGTGTTTGGTAAAATTATAAATGATTGCTAGCTGTTTATTAGTGATAAAGTGGGTTAACAAGTCAAAAGCCAATAAAAAAAAGGCTACTCTTATTAGCTTTTGGCGGAAAAAGCTAGCTTAAAAGCCAACTACCAAACATAATTTTTGGCTGTTTGACCAAACTTAAAAGCCAAAAGCTAGGCAAAAAGCCAATTGTCAAAAAACCCCTTAGTGGTGGTGGTAGCTTTTATGAAAAGTTAGAAAGATTAGCTTTTGAAATTGGAGGTAGCTTTTGAGGTAGTTGTTGAAAATTTAATCTATACTTTTAAAAATAAAATGTTGATTTTTATATGTAACAGCTAGTCAACCGCTACTTTACCGAACACTCATATGTAAATTATTTATCTTCACAGCTAACAGCTTGTTGACAGCTAACAGCTACATACACAACTCACAGCTACAGCTACCTTCACAATTATATTTTGCCGAACATGCCCTTAACCTTTTACCGATTAGAAGAGAAAAAAAAAAAAAAAAAAAAAAAAAAAAAAAAAAAAAAAAAAAAAAGAGCTGAGAAATATTACTTCATACTCCTAACTAAAACATTAATTGGATAAATCGCATCCACCATTTTAAAATTGTAACCTTGCTTGTGCATTTTAGTTTAACAAAAGTAAGTTCAATTATGTAAAAATCAGTAACTTTAAACAAGAAATATAATAGAAAATCATAAAAAAAAAAAATAATTTCAATTCAACAAAAGTAAGTTCGTTTCTGTAAAAATTAGTAACTTTAAAGAAGAAATATAATAGAAAATCAGTAAAATAATTTCAACTCAACAAAAATAATTTAAGTTCAACAAGAATAATTTTTTAAGTAAAAATAATTTCATTTCGGCAAAAATGAGGTGAAGTGAATGGGACCTTACAAGGCCCAATAAGTTTCCATATTAAAACAAACTGATGATAGTATGAGTAATTTCTTTACCTTGTAAAATAGAACTACACACTTATCTTTTTTCTCAACGTGAGACACTCATAAGTGAAATTACTGTGAGTTTCAAACTTTCAATATCCTTTCCGATACATACATCAACTGTAAAAACTTCTACGAAGTAATATTTACCTATCTAGTTAATTCAGAATACTCTTCAACTATCTCCAAAATTGGCATCACCCAAAAAAAAGGTGGGAAAAAAAGGGTACATCCATACAATGATACAAGTACTCTATAATACGGAGTAAAAAGCTGATTTTTTTTTTATTTTTTTTTATTTTTTTTTTTAAACAGAAAAGAGTTATACACTAATACGTACTCGTATTAATTATAGTATAGAGAGTACAGAACTTAGCAATTAGCATAGCTTGGGCCAGCTAACTGAGGCATGCAAGTAACAAAGTCAACTATGATGATGCTTCCACTCTCTTCTTTTTTGTTCGTGAATTTCTGACCCGGGGTTAAACACCGTTAAACTGTAAAACCAAAGTCAACCATTATCATCTGAACACACATTAATTATTGTACCAAGCTAGTACGAGTACATTTTAAAGGACTATATTTATATGTATTAGAAATCAAATTGCATTTTGTTTTACAAATAATCTACTATATATTGATTTTGTTTTTTTTTGAGGAACTACTATGTATTGAATTTGTTTCTCAATTAGATGTAAATAATTTACTACCTAATTTGTTTCTCAGTAGATATGTTGGTGTCGAATATTAATATATATTGTGTAAGTGATGTTGAAGCTAGGGTGCAAATCATAATTCCGGAGTACACTATATGACTAAGTAATTTAATTGTACATGGTGTGAGAAATAAAGTACTGTAAAATCAGAAAAACATAGTTTGAAATGTAGGCCGAATTTGATTGATGTAGGTAAAACGTTGTGACGTGTTAACAACACTGTCTTAGAAGCAAAATTCGCCCCGACTATGGTGCAATCGGAGATGGTGTTGCCCCCCAAGAATTAACACAGCGATCTCTCTTAATGTGCACTAAAAAAGAGAGACTAGGAACTCACAATATGCTCAGAATTATTTTAGAGGAAAACTAGAAGAAAAATAGAGAGAAGAAGGAAATTGTTTTTTTTTTGTGTATTTTGAAAGCCACGAAAATCAGTTTTTTATAGAAGAAGGAAGGCATAACTGATGGAGAAAATCAAGCCACAAAATAATTCGTGGGAGAAAAATCAGGGGCAGTTACAAACGTTTAAAAACCGAGTCAAACGTTCACTAGTAGAAAAAGGCTCATTTGCGTCGCTCATTTATAGTGTATTTGCGTCGCTTTTATGAGCGACGCAACTGCTCGCGACGCAAATGATTTAAAAGTCATTTGCGTCGCTCCTAGGCGTGACGCAAATAAGAGTCATTTGCGTCATTGGCGGATCTATGAAGGGGCCTGGGTGGCACCGCCCCCCCCCCCCCAAATTTTTTATTTTTTATTTTTTTATTTAAGTAAATATATAGATTTATAAGTTAAATACAATTTTTATGCAATAAATAACATCAAATTAGCTTTGTCATAGTGGTAATGCATTTAGTTTGGACTAATTTAAAGTCTTAGGTTCAAGCCTTTATACTAGCATTTTATTTATATTTTTTATTTAGTGCCCCTCCACACTAAGTATTCTACATCCGCCACTGTATTTTGCGTCGCTCCTTTATAAAGGAGTGACGCAAATAAGAGTTATTTGCGTCGCTCTTTTATAAACTTCTTTTTTGTTATTTGCGTCACTCCTTTATAAAGGAGCGACGCAAATGACTCTTCTGATAAACTTCTTGTTTGTTATTTGCGTCACTTGTTTATATAGGAGTGACGCAAATGACTGACTAGACAATACAAAATTGCTTTATTTGCGTCACTTGTTTGTTTAATGAGTGACGCAAATGAGGTGAATTTTTTTTTAAATATAATAATTGCCTTGTATATGTTTGTAGTACCCGTTTTCCTTACTAGTGGTATAAAGTAATATGCTAACGCTAATATAATTGAAATTAAAATGCAATATTATTGAATAATGCAAATGTAAATTTCGGCAGAGTCTCCTTTGTAATTTGGCCTACCCATAAAATTGGGAATGACGACATTATATTAACAACCTGTCCAATAATTTACATCTCAATATCATAGACATTATACTCATCATCCCAACACCAATTAACCAAAATCATTCATGTCAAGCCTATAATCCAAAACAAGAGTCCAACATGCGCTAAGTGTAAATCTAAAGTTCAACATTACATATAAAATACTCTGCCCAAATATCTCGAATCTCATTTATCTCCTCCTCGGTGTACATTGTAGTTCTTGAAAAATCCTATCAACACAACAAATAAACAAGAGGAAAGTTTTTATTCAGGATTGTAGCTAACATCAAATTGTATTTATCAAACAAAAAATGAAATATTTGACAACTTATACCCGAATAAGATCCTCACTGCTATGGTGATGTTCAAGTATTTCGTACATATAACGCATGATGTAGTAGCCACACTCACGTCCACCCAATTGTTGAGGACACTACATGTAATATATTTATAAGTTCAAAGTTTATACTTTTCATGGTATGGGCATAAGATGAACTGCTTAGATTTTTGTTTTTCCATCACATGTGTCATGTATAGTAGGATACGATCTGCATCACTATGCAAATAGGTTTCTGAAATCATTTCCGGACACATGAATCCAATGGAAGCCACATCCACCGTATCGAGTAAGTCACTCAAGTCCCTACATATATATCATGTAATAACATTATAAACGGTAATAAATAAGTATATATGGGAAGAGTGAAATTTGAATATCTTACATCATAAAAACTTGCAAAACTAAAATATTCAGCCAAGCTCCCGTGAGAAGTTGATTGACATCTTCACGTTTGATAATGATGTCCTTACTATCTTCATAACTAAAGGTCCAAGCATCAACCTTTACCTTAATAGTTTCACCTTCGGGTAATGAAGATAACAAGCTATTCAAAGACCCACACTTCTGAGACAAGTTTTCCAAAGCATAATCCATAAAAAAAACTTTTTTTGGATTGGTGTTGGACTCTTTTGTTTCGTGACCACTTTCAACTAATTTCAGTTTGTCTTGCATGTTTTCTTTGGCCGCTTTGTTGTTATCATCGTTCTTATGTGATATGAATTCCTAATCAATAGTAAAGCAAATCTATTCAACAATTTGCTATATTTTGTATGGAAAACTATATGTAAATTGTTACAAAAATAATTTACCTTGTCATGCATGAGTGAAACCAAGTCTTTCGACCATTGGGTAAATGTACCATGAGCATGCTTAAGTTTCTTGATGACTGAAGAAGGAACTGGAACCGAGAATTCTTTGAACTCGTCAAAAAAATCATCAACACTTAGCTTACCCTCACGTGATCCGGAAGGAGGTTATTGTGATGATCAAGGATTAACTCCGGATGATATGTACCTTCAGCGACAATGACTTTCTCAGAGTCATTTTTCAACAATGATAGCCGACAAGGAACCGGTTCCTTACAAAGATAGAAAAAAATCATTATTAAAAAAATAGAAAACTGAGTTACAAAGTTAAAAGTATGTCGCAGTCATAAATCATTAAAAAAAAAGATAAAAAAATATAAAATAACAAAGTTTTGGATACCTGTATGTTTGCAAATGGATCATCACCCACTGATTTGCTATTACTAGGATTTTGTTGAGTCGTCCGGCCTATGTTATTCATTTCCATCAATTCAGTTGGAATTTGAATACCAATTTGTTTAGCAAATAACATAAACTTCTCTTGAACCATGGAATCCATTTTAGAATCCATCTCCTGCATAGTCTCCTCTCATACCCTCCGGGCTACTTTTGCCTCTAATTCTTCCAACTCATCATCTCCGAATTCCCTACCCCGTCGGCTACTACGCCTCTCTCCGGATCCCCATACAGCTTTAATGCCAATTCCACTGCCAAATGCTATTGCCCGACCATTACGATCTTTTTTCCCAAGGGCACGAGATAAGATATCATCATGCCTATTAGGAACAAATTTTCCATCAGCTTGTTGCTTTCTCCAATTATCCTACACAAAGACTTCAAGTTAGAAAACTTTGGTTGCAATACATAAACTTAACAAAATATATTCAAAATTGAAATAAAGACTTATTACATACTTACAATGGATTCTTTCACCTCTCTTGTTTTCTCATCCGGCAAATAAGGATTTCCCTTATCATCTTCTATTGATCTTTCTAGAAGCCAAGCATATGTCCTATCCGACAAACTAGACACAACCAAAGAACAAGATGAAGTACTGGATGCTGAAGATGCCGTGGGAATATACCCTTTTCTACGCCATACAATATTCATTTCACCATATGGTTTGGCTCCTAAATGGTGAGGGTATTCGTTGAAAGACTGGCTTTGTCTTGCCTTCTCACTGATTTCCTATTTTCACGAGCATAAATGAAGATTAGTACATAAGAATCCGTTAACAAAGTATTAATAACCCGCATGATCATTGATATTAATACACACAAACCTTAAAATCATCTGTACTATGCTCCTCCACAAATGTTTTCCACATATCCTCATGTATGAAATCATAGAGTACATACAACATTCTTTTCTCTTTCGGCATATTCCTAGTACATGTGATCCAACCACTGAACAATTTTGTTTTAAAATCTCTCCAAGTTTTATCACAAGTGCGTAGGACCTTTTTTTTCTTGTCTTCATCTTCTTCGATTTGAGCACACAATGTAGATAATCGGCTATCAACATATGTACCCAGAGAACAATCGGGAAATAGTGAGCCATGATCTTCTTAGACCCAAAAACAATTCAAGTAGTTATCACCTAAATGAGATAGAACATTCAAGAACAGTCCCAAACCGGGGACTATTCAAGACATACTCCTAATGAGTAAGCCCTGAACGGGTATCTAAGCCAATGATGCAAGTATTATTGCAATTCCAATCAATTATATCACAATTAAAAATCTCATACAATTCACAATCATTATACCAACCAGAACAAATAAGTTAATATTGCAAAGAATGGTTTAGATATATATACCACAAGTGAAGACAATCTCATATGCGTACTACCGCCTTAATCGTTTGTCCACAACCAGAACCTCGAGCAACTTGTGGTATTCACTTCCGCATAATTAAGAATCTACCATAAAAAATTACATATATTAAACCAACATAGTTGATTCAACTTAATCTGCCATGTGAAATAAAAGTTGTTATTCGGCATTGCTTATTAGCCAATCATGGTGTAAAACTTGAAGACCTGAAACGAGTGTTAAGCCATCCGCAGGTATTTAGATCTTAAACTAATCCATGTCTTTATTGCCATCAAAGTTATAGTGAAACGCTAAACATCGCCCGCAATTTACCATATAAAGCCCACAAATATGATATGATTTGACCATTATGCCCATTTTCTAAAATTGAAATAATCTCGGTGTAAAAAATGTGGAGCCGTACTGGCTCGCCGGGGGAGATCGGAGGGCAGGCCGGAGATGCGGGGGACGCCGGAGGTACGTCGTCGTCGACGGAAAACGAGGTAAGTCACCGTTAAAATTCACGGTTTACCGTCGGAGTGGCTCCGACGCCTAGGATGGACGCCCAAACCGTAGCCTGGACGTCCAAGCCAGACGCCAGAACCACTAGAGTGGCGTCCAGCCCAGACGCCCAGACCACCAGACTGGCGTCCTGGTCAGGCGCCACTCCACTGGGTGAGGCGGCCCTGCCAGGCGCCAGTCCAGTGGTTGTGGCAGCCCTGGCAGACGCCACCCTTATAAATTATTTTTTTTTCTTTTTTGATTTTGTTGTTGTTTTTTATTTAATTTTTTTTAAAAAAAAAAAATCGAAAATGATTTTTTAAAAAAATTCGAAATGGGTTTTTTTTAAATTAAATTTGAAAATTCGAAATAGGTTTTTTTAAAATTAAATTTGAAAATTCGAAATGGTATATTTTTAAATTTAGTTTGAAAATTCGAATTGGGTTTTTATAAAAATTAAGTTTGATTATATATAATTATGCTTTTTTTTGTGTTAATTCTGTGTAAATATAGAAATTAAATGTATTATCCGTTAAATGTATTTATTGTAATATATAATTGATGCAAGAATATGGTGGAGACGGAAATGATTACAGTGGGATATTTGGACATGATGGTCCATTCGAAGAAGCTCAACAGGCGATTGATTGGGCAAAACAGGTTGCAATTGCAGCTGGATTTTGCTTGGTAGTAGTAACTCATAAATCTCAACGGGATGGTAGAATGGATCGCATTTTGAGATGTGATCGTTATCGCAAAAGAGAAGAAAGAGATTTTCGTACAACCACTCGGTTTGATACAAAGCGGAAAGGTTGTGGGTGTGAGTTCAGAGTAAAGGTTCGACAACTACGGAGTCGTGACGGTTGGGAAGTGATTGGTTACTCTAAATGGGGGTATCACAACCATGAGATGATAGTATATGAAGAGGGTCATCGACAACTGAGCGGCTTAAGTCCTGCTGCGAAACTAGTTGTGAAAGAAATGAGTGATGCTCAAGTGAAGCCTGCTAAAATATTAGCATCTGTGTTAGAGAAATTTCCAGAAGACCATCCAAACCGAAGACACATCTACAACGTCAGACAGCAACTCAGGTTTGAACGGTCAGAGGGAAGGAACCCTATACAACAGCTGCTACACCAGGCACAATCACGTGGTTACCTGTTCTGGTTTGATTCTGATACAGCGGAGGTGACTCATCTTTTCCTTGTGCATCCTGATTGTGCTGATATGATCAAGTCTTGGACATTTGTGATTTTGATCGACTCAACGTACAAGTCAAACAAGTACAAGTTCCCACTGGTTGAGATGGTTGGGATGGCTCCAACGAACCAGAACTTTCTGATTGGTCATGCAATCATCAAGGATGAGACGGCTCCAAGTTATTATTGGGTGTTGGAGAAGCTGAGAAACTACATCGGGCCTAATGTTCATCCAGCAGCCATCGTCAGCGACTGCGAGGGAGGTCACTTTGCCCCCATAGCAGAGCTGTTTCCCGAATCGAACCACTTATTGTGCACATGGCACATCAACAACTGCGTGAAAGTGAAAGCCTACAACCTTTTCAAGAAGAATTTGGAAATGGCAGAGAGATTGGTGAATGGTAAGTGGCGGAAGATCCTACAGGCTACCACAGAGGAAGCGTATGAGCGAGCATTGGCTAACTTCAGGGATTCGTACCAGTGGTGTCCGGCACTGGTGGACTATGTGATGCATCAATGGGTCCCTCACAGGGAAAAGTTTGTCAAATATTGGACAAACTAGGTACTTCATTTTGGGAACACTACAACATGTAGAGTTGAGAGCGCTCATAGAGCTACCAAGGACTGGATTGATTCATCGACCGCTGCTTTGGATACACTGTTCGCTAGACTGAACAAGTCAATTGAAACTCAGAAGAACGACATCAGGAACTCTCTAGAGGACTCCAGACGACGACATGGTACGATGTATAGCCATTTATATTTAAGATTCTCCATGGTCGTGTGTCGCACTACTGCTTGGGGTTGATTCTCACTGAGCTGAACAGGGTGAGGGACTTGGCTGACGAAGTGTATGCTCGGTGTGTGTGTACTATTTCAGTAACTCATGGATTACCTTGCGCATGCACCATTCACCGCGTTATTACAGAAGAAAGGGCGTCGTTACATATTGATCAGGTCCATTCATTCCGGAGGACGCTTGTTATTGGTGAGCATGCAGACACTCAAACGGTCGACCGTGAACAGGAGGAGTTGGAGCAGTTTCGTTCGATGTACGACCGAGTGTCCTCCAGCCATCCTTCTATTATTCGTGACGCTACTCATGTACTTCATGACATGTTCCACCCGTCTACCTTAGATTATGAGGAACCCGAAGGAGTTGACCGTCCTCGAGGTCGACAACGGCGGAACAGGGGTGCGTTTAAGTATATCCGTGGTCTTGGTCGTGGTCGTTCTCGTGGTCGGACATCGTCATCTAGTCGTAGTCAATCTTCATCGTCTGTGAATATGCCCCTGAGAACTGGTACGTTTTGGTTGTTTTTATTGCACATAGTTTTAAAGTGTTACTCCTGCCTTCTTAACTGTCTATAATTATATGGTGAATAGGAAGAAACGATGTTGATCAGTTTCCGTACAAATGCGCAGTCATGCATTTCGGCCTGGGAGTGCATAGTCAAGCTTATTATCCTTGTACCACGGTTCTCCCTTGGCGGTCGCGTGAGACTGTCACCACACCGGTTAGAGAGCTAGTTATTGCGTTTCTTGGGTCGTCATACAGACATTTCATCCGACTAGACATGTCAACCGATTTTCCAGTGCCACCAATTATACCTCGGTGGTACAACATTCGCACAGCGAGCGTAGAGGGTTGGGATGCGCTATATCATGACCGGATCCACGAATGGAACACCCTAGCTGCATTTTAGTTTTTCATGTTTACATTCTTTATTTGTAATCTTATTTGTACGTTGCTCTTTTAATGAGAACATTAATATTTTATATTGTATTGCTTACTGCATTCTATATGTTGCATGGGTAAGTTGCGCGGATCCACGAACGGTTATATCAAAATTTAAAAACAGCACTGATAATATGTTTAAGTTGGAAGCTAAAAGAACAATCTAAAATGTTACAATCTTACAACATAATGTCCAACATAATGCTCTATAAATAAAATGACAAAACCATCAGTAATCCCTCCTCGATGACGACTCCCACTGCGCAAGGGTCTGTTTCAGACTATCAACAACAGCTCTCCCTGTTGCACTCATGCTGTCCTTCTAAAGAGAGAGTTTCTGTACGTCCTGCATGATCTTTCCCATCCACTGCATACAACAAAAAACAGAAGATGAAATACAATAACAACATATAAAACTTAATTAAAAGACAACGATAAATATAATAAAAGACATACCGCTTCCGTGGCAGTAGGCGGTGGCACATAATCATCATCGTTGTGGTCGAGATCTGCGATCAACCTCGGGTGCGAATACCGGTTGAACCATTCCGTGTAGTAATGGTCACACATGGGAGTAACCCCAGAGGGCGGCCGCTGCAACTCCGCAGTCCATAAGCGGGCCACCATCGGAAACTGGTCCCACGTCCCGGTCATGATATCCGGCCATTGCACGACATAGTCCCTCGACGATGCAGGTCGGACCGCCTTCATCGGGCATGCCGGGGGAGGAGGGACAACTTGGACAAATCCAAGTTGGCGAAGACAACGCTGGGGCATGTACGCCTCGACGATCTCACGATACTGAATGAGTCCCGTGTACAAGGTCCTGGGTACCCTAACACTAGGGTTCGGGCCGAAAGGCATCCAGTTCACCTGTACAATAACAACATATAAAATTTAATAACATGAATATAATATGTGCAAATAATAAAATGTGGAAACAATTTATAAACGTTACCTCTAAGGGGGACAGCCTGTCCAGCAATAACCGTATCGATCGGAGGCGGTCAACGGACTTCTTCTCCGAGCGCGGACTCCACGCACAAGCACGCGGCATCCCCTCATCAATAGGAACTGGGTCACGATGTGGTCGCAATGCAGGAAAGTACTCGTATATCCAGGTCTGCAATAGAGTCAGACACCCAGTGATACCTGCCGCGTCAGCCCGACTCGCAAATCCTAGTTGGCGATACAAATACGCCAACGTAGCCGATCCCCAGGAAAACTGGCCTACACTGTCGGGGTCACACGCCTCTACTATGTCGCGTGGCCTGAGCTTGTTTCCGCCGCTCTTATCCGGAAACAAGGTACATCCGAGGAGTAGAAAAACATAAGCACTCAGTTGTGCGTCGTGCGTCCTGCGTGCACTGGGGTACAAACACCGCTGCAACACGGATGCGATCTTCACACCTCCGTGTTCCCAAACACCTAGCGCCTCGGTGTACAGTGCAGCCCTGTCCACCGCCAACAACTCCGCCAGCAAATCTGCCTGATCCGCATCAGCCACAGCACAAAGTCGTTTACCCTCAACACGAATCCCCAGAATGGCCTCGACGTCATGTAACATGATCGTCATCTCACCGAACGGAAGGTGGAAAGAGTTTGTATCCGGCTGCCATCGCTCAATGAAAGCCGTGATCAGCGTACTGTCAATCTTATCGTGCATGGTGGCAGGAACGTGATTCACCCCAGTGCCCTCCAGTCGCTCGAACATCTCGCTCTCCGCCGGCCAGGCCTCAGCCCATGTACGCAAAAAGCTACAAGTCTTTTCCCGGGTATGACATTTCAACAACCCCGTAACTGAAGGCCTCTCCTGGTCCTCCCAAATACGGGCAGCTATGTGTCCTAGAAAGCTAGGAATCACACTCCCGTCAACAGGCCCACCGGGCACCTCACTCCTAACAACCCAAGAATCATTACCGGCCCTCGATCGTTTCCTGTTTGCCCCAGATACAGTGGATGTAGATGATGTGCCAGATCTACTAACAAACCTACCACCCCTACCCTTACGCACCTCCACCATATGTGTCTCGTACATGTCATCAACCCTCTGACTGAATGGATCGTAATCATCATACGGTCCACTGCCATCGTCCACATCCTCATCCTCATCTGCGCCCTCCTCCTGCTCCTCCTCCTGGTCACCCTCCTCAGCATCATCATCGTCATCGTCATCCTCATCCCGACGGTGGATCCGTTCTCTACGAGTTGAGGCCGAAATACCACGGGATCTGACATGTCTATGCCCCGACCTCTCCACTGAATAGCTTCTACTAAGAAGCTCTATATTCTTCCCCGCACCATGACGACCCAGTGAATTCTACACAAAATTTTAAAATATATAAACATACAAAAATTTATACGAAAAATAGCTACCACTCCCAAATCAAATAAACTAAAAACATACAAATAATTGTAAACAAAATATAAACATAGAAAAAATACAACGAAATTGAAAAAATTTATAAAAATAAACAACAAAATATAAAAACAATTCAAAAATATATTACACAAAAAAAAAAACAATATTTTAAAACAAATATAAAAAAAAGGGGGGGGGGGCGCCTTGGCTGGACGCCCAGCCAGCGGTGGTGGCGCCAGCTGCAGACGCCGCCACCAGTGGGCTGGCGCCAGCTGCAGACGCCGCCACCAGTGGGCTGGCGCCTGGGCTGGACGCCACAGCCACGGCTGCGGCGCCTTGAATAAACGCCACAACCGTGGCTATGGCGTCCAGCCCAGGCGCCAGCCAACTGGTGGCGGCGTCTGCAGCTGGCGCCACCACCGCTGGCTGGGCGTCCAGCCAGGGCGCCCCACCGCCGTCACAGCGGTTTTTCCCTTTTTTTTTTTTTTTTTTAGGAAATTGTACCTTGCCACCTTGGGACATCCTTCCCTCCGCCGCCGCCGCCAATTCCTTGCCTTGCCGCCTCGACATTGCCGTTGTTTGAATTTTTTTTTTTAAGAGAGGTTGAAAGAAGATGAGCAATGAGAGTGTGAGTGATGAGAGTGTGAGTGTTTTTTTTAAAGGTCAAGGGCAATTTTGTCAAACCAAGTGAATTTTTTGGGCTTTATGTAGTAATTTGTGGGCGATGTTTAACAAATCCCAAGTTATATTGCCATCAAAGTCCAATGAATAAAAAAACCTTATAACAGCTATATATAAATGAATGTAACAACATTGCTAAAATTTGAGGTGATGATTTTAGTTAAAAGGTTAAAATTTCCACGTTTGTTATGAGTTGAAATTTGAGAAATCGTGACATCCAATCCATAAGTTCAATTAATAACATTCCCTAAATATATATATATATATATATATATATATATATATATATATATATATATATATATATTTCTATTTTTTAACCTTTTAACTCAAATCATCACCTCAAATTTAAGCTCTTCCATCTATTAATTTGTATATGGTAATCAATATTTAGGATCTAATCTCATCTATGTAAGTAATGTTGTTACATTCATTTATATATAGCTTCCAACAAAAAGTAAAAGACCATACACATTTATTTTTAAATTTAGATCAAGATAGCATCTATCTTTATGTGCTTCATATATGTTTTCATTGATGCTAGGCCGCTAGGGTGCAAAAGCTTATTTTGAGCACATTCCATGAACATTATTGTGTCATAGATTTTACATGTATTTTATAATTTATTTAGCAGCATTTTTACAGCAAATTAAAGATAAGACAGTTGAAAAACAAGGGTCAATGTTACTGAATTTAATGGCCAGGATGACGATCGACAGCACGTGGCTTATCTATTTTTGCAAAACCGCTCACATAGTCATACTATGCACTCGATTTCAGCTATATATTTGAAATCAATAATATATTGCAAACCAGCAGCTCAAAAATCAGCAGCTCAAAGATGCAACCAGTTATATATTCAACTAAAATCTGCCATATATATTTTCTAATTAATGAACTAACACTAAACCTGAAATTAAACTAAGTCATTGTTCAAGTTAAATGCTACATTCTATCTACCATGAAAAGATTGAACATAAATAGAAGCAATCTTACCTTAGGTGAAATTGACTTCACAAATTCAACAATGTCAAGCCGAAATCCCTCCTCGAATTATTGTTGCTGTAATTTCTTGACTGGAATTCGAACAATTTCTATTTATGACTGAAATAGGGGATTTCGAACCCTTAAACCCAGAAAAAGACGTAATTCGAACAATTATTGTTGCTGTAATTTCTTGAAATCAACTATTGTTGCTGTAATTTCTTGACTGAAATTCGAACAATTTCTATTTATGACTGAAATGGGACGAATTTCTTAGGGTATTTTGCGTCGCTGCCAAAAACACTAGAAATCCCCCCTCGAAATCCCCCAATCGAACTTGAAGACCGAAATTGAATTTTTTGGGGTTTCTAGGGTTCGAATTCATATGCTTTTGAGTTGATTTTTTGCTCGAAATGGGGGATTTTTGGTCGGAAACAATCAATTTTTCTGGGTTTAAGGGTTCGAATTTCTTAGGGTTTTTGGTCTAAATTGCTCGGATTTGCTGCCGATTATGGGTCTTCAACTTGACTGCGATTTTAGATGTTAAATTTGTTGGGGAATCACAGTTTTTTGGCCGAATTTGTTGGATTTCAGAGACGAATTTGTGGGTGTTTTGCTGTAGAAATTCACTGGAATTGAATAACTCTTGCTTTTTTTCTTTTTGTTTAGTGAATGTAGACGTACGTGATGAAAAACTAAGGTCAAAAAACGCAGAATAACCTAAAGCCAAAAGAGTTATTTGCGTCACTTTATTATAAAAAAGCGACGCAAATAACCTTGTTTATAATGTTGTACACAGCTCATATGCGTCGCTCATTTAGTAAAAGAGTGACGCAATTTACTCAATCACTTATTTGCGCCGCTTGTTAACAAATGAGTGACGCAAATAAGTTTATTAATTGCGTCGCTTTAATAAATAAGAGCGACGCAAATGATAGAAAGTTGAAATGAACTTGAGTTTTGCGTCGCTTCTTGAATAATATGCGACGCAAATAACTTAAAAGGATGGTAAAAATAAACATTTGCTTCGCTTCTTAGAATGAGTGACGCAAATATGGCGACGCAAATGTACATTTTTCTACTAGTGGTTGTTGCGAGCTTTCGTAACTAAACGATCTCATAAAAACTGGAATATCAGTTACGACTTGGCCCAAAAAGGTAGCCCCACCGCACACGTGCCACGAACCGAACCGGTCGGGCGGCAGCATGCGCGTGGGGATGCCCCCTTCTAGCCCACAACAATAGGGAAAGCACTTCAAACACCAAAGTATAAAGACACATATTTAAACCAAGTAAAACCTTCCTTATCCCACCAATGTGGGACAAAGAGTTTTCCTCCAAAAATAAGAAACCTTCCTTTGCATTATTTCCAACACATGGCACTAGTTTTTGAGGAACTTAGTTATTAAATTAACGTTGGATCGGATGCTTAATGTTCAAAATACCCTCCCTTCCCACCCCTTCTTACCCTTGGTAGGGTAAAACACCAAACTAATCACAATTAGGTAGTGCCCTAGAATGTCATTTATTTAAAGCTTTGACCTTCCAAATAATAAACACAATATACATAATTTGGTTTGGTTTGGTAGAGATATTAAAATATTGAGATGAAGAATCTATCTTATTGGATAAAGCTTTATTAAACTATTTCCTATGCTCTTACTTTTATAAGTGCTATTCTTTTTAAAAATAAAAATAAAAATTAAGTGCTATGATGAATATTTTTTTATTTTTTTATTTAAAAAAAAAACATTATGTATAAAAATTAGAACTCTGTTAGATTAGTAATATATTGTTGGATTAGTCTTGGTGAATATGCATGTTTCGACTACTCTATTTTTTTATAAACTTTGATTAACGCATATAATATAGAATACCGTCTAATTAATAAGAACCTTCACCAACTCCTAATTTAATTAAACAACTTGAGCTGTACACCGTATGCCCTTTCCCATGATCTCCAATATACGTATAGCCGTATAGGAGATAGTATTAGAAAAATAAAGCTGAAAGTTTCCCAAATACCAACATTTAACAAGCGTTGTTCTATGCTAAGGAATACAATTAAGACTAGATTAATTAATGAAAGCTTTGTCTTATAATTTATAAAACTTTTTTTCCCCCTAGTAACTTATTATTAGTGGTAGGTAAGTGATACTTTTTGGTAGTTCATAAGTAACAAATCTTCTATCACATACATTTTCATGCAATGTAATTATTGTCAGATATATTTTTTTTGCTGTCCCAAACAATGTAAGGGTAAAATCCAAGTGACATTAATATAAGACTACTATTAATGCTCACGTCTTATATGTGAATATTTTCCATTGAAAATTTACCAAGGATTTACCTTGAACTTGACTTAGGGCTTGTTCCGATTGACTGAACTCAGCTGAACTGAACTAAACTTATTAATTAGTGATTTTTAACTACAGATTAGTGATCTTTGATTATTTATTGATTATTTATTACTATACATATGTGTATATACAAATGTACATATTATTATTATTATTAATATTATTATTATTAATTAATTATTGATGATTATTATTATTATTATTATTATTATTATTGTTGTTGTTGTTGTTGTTGTTGTTGTTGTTATTATTATTATTAGGGTAATGCTATATGCAGCCCTTAGGGCTGCATATAAGCATTTAATATACTTCCTTTTTTTAGTATTAAGTTGGGAATTTATCAACAATTCACGAGTAAATCGGTGTAATAAATGTTAATTTTATGTTTATTCTTTGCACTTTTAGCTTTTTATATGCAGCCCTTAGGGCTGCATATATCTTTTTCCTTATTATTATTATTATTATTATTTATTGATTATTATTATTATTATTATTATTATTTATTACTTATTGATTATTATTATTATTTTATTATTATTGTTGTTGTTGTTGTTGTTGTTGTCGTCGTCATCGTTGTAATAAGAGCTTAAAAGAATGAAATTTGGTTTTATATCATTAGACGTAAATTAAGAGCTGAACTGAACTGAACTGAACTGAACTGAGCTGAGCTGAACGAATTTCAACGGAAGAGGACAGACCCTTAATTCATAAACTATAACCAGAAACGTAAATTTCAAAATTTAAATAACCAATTATAGTTGTTAAGAATATAATACTCATGTAAATACTTTAACATCTCATATAATTGATTGTTGTCAAAATAAGTGTTTCCTCAACCATCCAAACCTCTTGAAACCTCGAATTTATATGAAATTAGAGAATAAAACTCGGAGTAATTACAAAATAAAATTCCACAAAAATTGAAGAAAAAAAAAAGAAGTTAAAAGTGTTTTTAAAGACAATGCAAGTAAAAGAGAAGACACGTTCCCAAAAATGGCACTTATGCAATGCAATCCTTGAAAAACAAAAATAATACAAATTCATGAAAATAATCCTCCTTTTTATGGGATGGTGTCTTTTTGGAATCATTAATAAATACAAACCCTTAGTTGGGTAGTTAAAGCTGTAGATGCTTCATATTGTAGGCAAAATCAAATAAAAATTTTAATTTTTCAAATCAAAATAAATTTGTAAAATACTAAAAATTAAAGTATGGTTGAACCAAGTCTTTGGATCTAGAGTCTAGACACCTAAATCGTTGGATTGAGTTGACCGGTAACCGGTATTACCTGTTAACTTATATAATTTGGTAATTTGTGGGGTTTCGTATGCCGTCAAATTAATCAATTTGGCGTGTGTCAATTACCAAATTCGTTTCTTATTATTAATTTTTTATTTTTTATATTGTAAGCGCGTGATATTCAACAGAAATCGGCGCGTGAGGTGATCAACTTTGGAATAGTAGTGATGTGAAGAGTAGAGTGTAGCCATTGGGCGGCGGTTCTGAAATCCAAGGATAAAAGCTTCTACCCAACTTATGAATTTTCTTGACTTTTAACTAACTCGAATTTTAGTTTGGATATTAATTAATTTTATGCCGGCACCTATAATTTATAAATTTAATTAAAACAAAAACTTAGTAGTATAGAAAAAATATGGACTATGACGTTTCTGATTTATTAAACTGAATTTATTGAAGTTGAAGTGAACTGCATAAGGAAATTAAGAATTAAACTAAATTTATTGGAGCTAAACTGAACTCGACTGAAAATAAGCTGAAGAGAACAAATCCTTATTGAGGTGAAATTAGTTAATTTTACCAGGTGAAAAATGCATCCGAGCTAATTTCTTTTTTCTTGCTATGGTTGTTATTTATTAAAATGATGTAGGTAGTTATGCATGATATAAATCTCCGCGTTTTTTTACATGAAAATGCCTTTATACGTTTATACGTACATGTGTATATCAGGCGGCGAAAGCGTAATGTTTAAGATGTTTCATGAGTCATGACAAATAACTCCATAAAGTACGTAAGTTTTCATAAATGTACGTATTGCAAAAAATTAGTACCTCCGTTAATTGTTATCTGCAACTTTGGGGTATTGTTATTTGTGAGATATAAAATATTTCAAAGTTGCAGATAGTAATTAACGGAGGTAATACTTCTTTTGATTCTAGATATATAATCATATTGATTTTATGTACAATCTACATGCTTTATTTGATTTAAGACTATATTTTCATGCGAGATTTTACTAAATTTATCTCAATGTACTTGATATATTATATCAACTTTGTACAATTACGTATTATTAATAAATAATGATTAAAAGTATTTGTAGTAGATACGCTATGCACTGACAATTTGACAAAGGTGTACATATACCTACAAATAAATTTATTTATGTTACTCGTAATAATAAATTGTAAAAAAAAATGAAAAAAATGAAAAAAAAAAAAAAAAAGTCGAGTAGAATTGAGATTTAGGGTATGTTCTGATTTACTGAGCTGAGCTAAGCTGAACTGAACTGATTGAAGCTGAACTGAATTGTTTATAAGAGAAGAAAATTAGGAACTGAATTGAATTGTTTATGAGAGAAGGAAAAAATGAACTGAACTGAACTAAAATTAAGCTGAAGAGATCAGATCCTTAATAGTAATAATACTTATGACATCAAACTTGTATAAATTCAGG